AATATCCAAAATTTATAAAGTACTCACAAAATTCAACACCAAAAACCCAAACAACCCAATTAAAAAATGAGCAAAGGATCTGAACAGATACTCCCCCAAAGAGGACATACAGATGGCCAACAGACATATGAAAAGATGCTCAATATCACTAATCATCAGAGAAATGCAAAAAACCCACAATGAGATACCATCTCATACCTGTCAGAATGGTTATCATCAAATAAGTCAACAAACAGCAAGTGCTGGCAAGGATGTGGAGAAAGGGGAACTCTTGTGCTGTTGGTGGGAATGCAGACTGTAGCCAAAATACAAAGTGTACATTTATAAGAAGGGGAAATAAAGCTGGAATAGCCTTTGGAAGACAGCTGGAAGCCACTGTGGAAAGCAGTATGGAAATACATAAAAAAATTAAAAATGGATCTGCCTTTGACCCAGCAACCCCACTGCTGGGAATATATCTGAAGGGAACCCAAAACACTAATCAAAAGATCATATGCACCCCTATGTTCATTACAGCATTATGTACAATTGCCAAAATATGGAAGCAGCCCAAGTGTCCATCAGTAGATGAGTGGATAAAACAACTATGGGACATTTGCAAAATGGAATTCTACTCAGCCATAAAAAAAGAAGAGAATTTTACCCTTTGCAACAGTATGGATGGACCTGGAGAATATTGTGCTAAGTGAAATAAGGCAGTCAGAGAAAGACAAATACCATATGATTTCACTCATATGTGGAATCTAACAAACATACTGAACTAACAAGCAGAACAGAGACAGACTCATAGATGGAGAACAGAGGAGAGCTAGTGGGAGGCCAGGTTAGGGGGTAGAGGAACTGAGCAAAGAAGAAAAAGGACTCATGGACGTGGACAACAGGATGGTGATTGCTGCGGAGTGAGAGGGGGTAAAAAGGGACTAAATAGTAATGGAAAAAATATAGTAAAGATTATATATTTTTTTAAAAATAAAGAAACTTATCCTTTCATTCACTGCCCTCTTCTTCTGCCTCCTGTGTGCTCATGCTGAGGTCCTTAGGAGGGTTCACTCAGGAGCTAGATGGGCTTGTGTGACCAACCTCCCAGAACCTCAGTTTCCTCAATGCCTGTACAGTGAGGGTGATAGCAGCTCTCCCCTCACAGTGGACATGCTCTCACAAGGCTGGGAGTAGGACATCGGGCTGGGCTCTGCTATAGATGCCACATTGTAGAGGCCCACTGGGATAGGGTATGCACACATACATACCCGAGTCTTGGTGTTCAATGATCACAGTGCACTGGTGATTCACAGCAGGGCAGAACTCTTCACATGGGGTAGTCACAGAAAGCTAGGCCTTGGAAGGTGAGTGCAAATTCAAAGACGGGAGAAGGCTGCTCAGGTGGATGGAGTTCTATGGACCAAGACTCAGGGTTGAGAAATTGAGAAGAATGTAGCCAAAATTTATAAGAAGGGGAAATAAAGCTGGAATAGCCAGTGGGAAAAGGCTGGAAGGTCCTAGGTGCCAGCCTGAGGCATTTGACCTTGATCCTTAAGGACATCAGTGAGGAGCCATGGAGCATTCTGCACAGGACAATGGCGGGATGAAGTCAGGTCTGCAGTGGAAACCAGAAGCCAAGAGAGGAGCAAAGCCAAAAGTCAAACTATAAAAACTCCTACATGATCCCCTCTACTCCATTTGTCCCCTTCCCTTATTTCTGCTTTATTCTTCAGATGCATCCTGCAGTAACATATGCATGTTACCTTATTGCCTCTTTTTGCACCTGCTAAGGTAGCATGCTGCACACTTTTTTGTCCATCTCCTCCTTATATCTTTCTTCATTTGATTGGATGCACCATAAACAGAATTCTGATCTGGAACAAGTTAGCTTCTAGCACATGTGAGTTGTCAGATTTCTAGTCACTTGTAAAAGTCTGATGGTTTCTACCAGTAGCTTTGTTAAACCAACTTTTGTAATAGTGATGGTTATTTTATCCCTTAGTAACAGGCTTCTAAAATGATGAATTCTTGCACAAAAGAGAAAACTGTTTCTTTTCATTATCCACTGAGGTTCATACAAAATTCCGTGGAATTGGGTGAGATTTTCTGGAATGAAAAGTATGTTGTGATAGGAATGAAGTATTTCCGACTGAGTGATTGAGGTATGGGACTGGTCGGGCACCTGTTGGCTCATCCACGGCCCTCTGAGCCCTAGGATGTGTGTCCTTTTGTGCTTCTAATTCTGCTGTGATCATATGGCTTAGCAGCCATTCAGAGCAGTGTGCAATTTTTTCCCCTTTGGCATTTGAGAAATCTCCTCCAATTGCCTCTTTTTTTTATGCCCAGATTCCACAACTAAATATTATACACTTGAACTTCACATTTCTACAGTGTTTTGCAATTTGCAACCTTCTTGAATGTTTTATTTAATCCTTGTGAAACAATAGAACAGGTATTGTGTCTATTTTGCAGATAAGGAAATTGAAGCTCAGAAAAGGAAAGTGGTAGAGCTGGCACTAGAGTCCAGGCCTTCTGAAATGGAGCCCAGTGTGGTCTAGGAGGCCCAAGTGGGCAACCGGGTTCATCACAAAGATCTTATGTCCCCGCACCGTCTCCTCCACCCTGTCTCATATCTGATAGGGGGGTATTTATGACTAGTTCATCTTAGTTCTATCCAAATCAGTGAATGTTACGTGTCTGCTAGGGATTAGGCCCTTCAGAACTGTCTAAAGTGTTTTCGGGGGGTGGGGAGGTTTACATGAACAGTTTTGTTATATGAGCTTTCATAGTAATTTGTTATTTAAAATAAAGGGGCCACAAGCCAGGACCTGCCAGTCTTCTTTATTCTCAGAAATTTGAGTCACAGGAGGATTCATCTAGGCGTGCTTTACTGTGTCCCAACAACCAAGAATGTGTGATAGTAGTGTAGCTGGTTAGAGAGGGGTTTCTGCATTTCTAGTGGAAAAAAACTTCATAAACTATGATATTAAAGCAAACCCTTGTTTATAAAGCCATTAAGTTTCAGGGTAACTCCTTTACTATCTTGGTAATTTTTTTCAAGAACTCCAATTAGATATGTAACCAAAACAATACCGTGTTTGTATGTAATCACGTACATTTAGTACTCTAGGTTCAGAATCAAATCATGCACAGAGATTTGTACTTGGATGCTTTTGGTAAGCAATAGAATACTTATTCTTTACAGAGTGTTTGAGAAAACAGATCACATAATGCATTTTCATAGTGACATGTGACACTTGAGGCCTTCTCTTATTCAGGGATGTGCTTCTGGATTGGTTGTGGCTTTTTCAAAGTTCAGATTAATTGGATGAATCTGCCCAGGACTGAGTTGTGCATATCCTGTATCTCAGGAAGCCTGGCAGGCCTAGAAAGCTCAAATTATTCTCAGCGTATGGTTCACATACCTTCTTTTTTGAGACATAAGGTATTCTTCCCCAGAAGGAAAGGCCCCTGGCTGGGAGTGTAGAAAACATCTCAGCTTCCTCACCAGCTTCGACTCACCATGCAAATGTCTGGAGTGGGCTCCTCTGCAAGCCTAGCTGAGGTTGCACCACAACCCTGGCCCTCCTAACTTCCCTGAGAGTTAAGATGTGGGTGGAGCAGCCCTAACAGAGCCAAGGACAGGTCCTAGAGCATCAGAAGAGTGGGTGACTTAGGAGCAGTGAGTGTTGTCCTTTGTGGACAGAGGGTGAAACCTTGGCCAGGATTCCAGTTCCTTATCTGAAGAATCAGCTTGACCGGATGTTCATGTATCTGTTCAGCCCTTGGACTGCCCAGAGTTGAGGGGAAGGGAGAAAGAGAATAGGGATTGGCTTTATGTAAGCAAGCCTTTCTTAGTTGGGTTAGGTTAATGAGATCCCTGAAAGGGAGATGTGCTGGCTTTGGATTGGGAGGAAGGCAGAAGACAGACAGATGTTACCTCTGTTGGAATCCAGGGGTCTGTGTGCAGGAGCTGCACTTCCGGGAATCTCATCTGCTTTCTTAGCAGCTTTTTCATCATACTCACTAAATCTGCAATTTGCTAACTTGGCTCCTGTAACAATTCACGGTTGCAAAGGCAGATGGTTCCTTGTACATGAATATTGGGTGATCATCCACCTGACTCTCAGACTTGCTGAGCAAATGTGGGATTTCGTATATGTGCATAGGGATCAGAGTGGAGACATGAAAGGCAGAGTAAACACGACCAGTTGGGAACATGTACATGCCTGCCAAAGCCTTTCCAGGGCAGGTGTTTCTATGAATGGGCAACAAATTGTACTGCCTCTTCACCTCCTACAGGGAGGACTTTCAGGAGAAAGACTGTGGCAAGAAGCAAGGGTTAAGAAAAACAGTTGTGTTTCACCAGTGGTCCATTTCCTGTCTGGGATGGAGGAACCAGGCTGTGAGGTCGGCCTGCCCCGACCTTGTCCACTGCTCTGCCCTGAACCTGCAGGTGGTGGGGAGGGGAGCCTGGACTGCTCTGCCTCTCAGCAGTTTTGGTTTAGACAAAGGGGCCAGCCCCCATTAGGAATGTTGAGTTTCAGGAAGTGTCGCAGAAACACTGCTCTGGGTGTTCTCTTTGACCACAGCTTGGCCCTCCTGGGTCCTTTCTCTTTGAAGTGTGATGTCCACTATCTGAGCGAATCTGGGAGGGGGGACATCTCTGAGTCCAGGCTTTTGGTCGGTGCGTGGGAACGGGATGTCAACAGGCCTGCTGTGACAGCACATGATGTTTTTGGCTTTGGCTCCTTGGGATCACTGAAATCCTGAAGGGGGTTCATTTTCTAAGAGAGGGTGCATGTGTGTTGGTGTGGTCTCTGCAGCTCTGACGCCCACAGTCTTGCTTGGGAAGACACTGCCTTGTCTGTCCACGTGTGTGGCCGCTGTTGCTGTGCTCGTGTGGCTGTACTTAGTGCTGTGTGTCCTGCCACAAGACTGTTGTGCTGTAGGGCAGATGGCTTGTGGTGTGGGTCCCCGAGGGTGTCCTGACACATGCCTGTTCTCTTTGCCTTATTCAGAGAATTCTCAAAGGAAAGGGAGAAGGCAAAAGCCCGGGGAGATTTCCAGAAGCTCCGGGAGAAGCAGCAGCTCGAAGAGGATCTAAAGGGCTACTTGGATTGGATTACCCAAGCAGAAGATATTGATCCTGAGAACGAGGAGGAAGGAGGAGAGGAAAGCAAACGAAATAGTATGTAGCACCCTTTCTTCCTGCTCTTGACCAGACAACATGTGTGAGAGGCCGGCGTCTGCCTAGCGGCAGGTGTTCCCCCCTCTGACCCAGCCTGTGAGACCACGCCCTCCTTTCAGCCACCCAGTTCGTTCTGTCTGTACCTCAGAGACAACACATCCATTTACCTGCCTCTGAATTTCTGCCTAAGGTTTGGGTTTTAGAGTTGTATCTAGTCATGTGGTTTTAAGGTGGAAGAGGGTCAGCCAGACTCACTGATCACCGCAGGAATTCAGTAAGCCCCGTCCCTTTTGAGCAGGACAGGATGGCATAAGACACATACCTTGCATCACAGGGGCCCAGGATGGCGTTCCCTCCCTTCAGACTGAGCAGTGTTATTAGAACTTGAAGAGCAGGGGCCCTCTCTACCCTCCTGCTACCTGAAGTGGTTCCCACCTGTGCCAGCCATGGGGAGCCAAATGCTTAGCCCACCAGAGGTTGGGAAGAAGCCAGCTCTGAGTAGCACTGGGAGACATGCGAGTCAGTGTGGCTTCTTTGGAGCCCACCCACCTGGTACCCCACAGTGACATGAGGCACCCCGGGGTACTTCTGCACTAGGAAGGCCCAGTGCTCAGTCAACCACTGGAAATCATTGTCAGCATCAGCCAAGATGTCTGTTTTGCCATATGCTTTTTTCACAGACGTGCTCTTACTCTTCCTGGGGCCATCTGTGCCTCGGGTAAGGATGGGTATAGACATTTAGCAGTGGATTTGACTACGATGTGTGTGATTTGTTTCAGGTCTACAATAGTGGATAGTAAACACTGACAATATATTTTGGAGGCGCATGTTTATTGAGAGGCCTGGGAAACCAAGTCAGGCACTACTTTGTGGAAGGGGGCTGAGGGAGCCCCCTTGAATGGAGCCCCTCAGAACTCACACAGTCATTTCTTCATCCAGCAAGGCTGGGGGCTGATCCGGAGGACTCCTGAGATGGAGAGGCTGTGTTTGCTCCCTCTGGGGAAGGGCAAGCCTGCACACACACAGATGCAGCCCGAGGAGACAGAGACATGGGTCGTAAGGGAGGTAGGCATGAGCTGGGGGCTGAGAGGAGGAAGGGCTCTAGGAGAGAGCTGTGAAGGCATTGGATCTGGGCCTTGAAGGAGGATGGATCTAAGATATGTCACAGCTCAGTGTCAGGAGAAACATTCTGAGCCGCAGCAATGGCGTGAGGACATTGAGTAGGCAGATGCAAGGCTTGGAGGAGGTGATGAGCTGTTGGGTTGGCTGGAGCACAGAGGATGTGCAGGGCAGGGAGACACGAAGCAGGGCGGGTGAAGCTGATCTGTGCTGCTTCTGTGGGCAGGGGAGTGTGGGGGCTGAGGCCCATGCTGGAGGGGATTCTTGAGGCACCCTGAGGCTGTGATTCCATGGGGAGTGAGGGTTTCCTGCTATCATGGATGTATCCAGTTGACTGAGTCCTGTGAGCCAATGGGGGAGCTAGTGGGATGCAGGTGCTCTCTTCTCCTCCCTGTCCTTGTTTGTTCCCAGGTCTTACCCTCTGCTCCTAAAGGAAGAGCCCTGGGGTCACCACTTAAAGACTGGGAAACTGGACAAGGATTTATAGTGCTGTGCTTGTTGAATTTGAGATTAGAGTTTATAAGTGGGTGTTTGAGTTTCAAGCTCAGTGGTGTCTTCTAGGTCAGAGGTTCTCACCCCTTGGGCCACAGACTGGCATCGGTCCACAGCCTGTTAGGAACGGGCCACACAGCAAGAGGTGAGCAGCAGGAGAGCGAGCAAAACAGGTGTCTGGTTCCAGAAAGGTTGGAGCCACTGTTCTAGGTGATCAGGTGTAAGAAGAGCATCTACATGTCTTTGGCACAGCTCTCCCAGGTGTTGGAGCCAATCTGAATCCCCACAGCCTTGGCACCTGCCATGTGGCCATCAACAAGCCACTTGTGTGAAGCCTGGGGAATGCCTGTCATGCTTTTCCTTTTCATTCCAAACCTCAGTGTAGATGCTGACCTATAGATGCTTTTCGCCCTTCTCCTAGCCCAGCACCTAGCGTACTGTGTGTAAATCAGTGAAGGTGCTGCCCTTTTCCTGAGCAGAGCACCTTTCTCTGCTGGTGTAGGAGTGTCCTGTAGGGAGCTGAGCAAGGTCCTCTTGCAGTCTGATGTCTTTCAGATCTGCAAGAGGACCTCTATTGCCCCGCCTCCAGAAATAGACAGGGATCCATCTGGGTTCCTGTTACCCCTCAGTGGTGATGCAACCGTTGTTTACAGCCTGTGATTTGAGGAGCAGAGTTTTTCGTGGGGTTGAGGCATTGCCTGCTGGTAGTCCTGAGGGTCCACTCTCATGTCTTAGCCCAGTGTTTCCTGTGTCCCACTGCTGTTCTTAAAGAACCCGACCATGTGATGACAAAATCAGGGCCTCTGCCTTTGGAGACGTTTCCATGGAGGAAAGAAGGAGAAGTGGTGCCTTAGTGTAAGACAGTGGACCAGCTGGCACTGTCATCAAGGGCCAGCAGTCTTCTGTGGAAGCCCAGGGGGTACAGGGATGCAGGCTGGTGGGAATGCAGGGAAGGCTCCATCGAAGAGATGGTAACCTTGCTGAGCTCTGAGGGATGAGCCACCCTGTGCTGCAGGAGGTGGGGACAGCTTAAGCTGAGGACAGGCATGGACAAGGTGAGGAAGGTTACAAATGTTTAAAACCCTTCAGCACATTACTTAGTAATATAATCAAGGAAAGAAATCCCCTTTGAAAGCTGCAGATGCTCAGAGTTCACTTTGTAACCAAGGCTCCAAATCCCGTAAAGCTGCACTGTATCTCTGAAACGTCAGCACTGTGGCTTCCGCTACGCACAGAGATGTGTGACTATACCTGTGTAACCAAATTGGAGTTTGATCCATTACAGCACACACTTCTGTGGAGCGCCCTTGTTCTTTGTCACGCTCATTTGCCAAGTACTGTGGTCTCCTGTGGAGTGAGGCTCACAGTTTTTCCTGAGTCATCAGAGCCTCAGAGCCCTGATGATTAGGGTTGAAAATAAAGGCATAGATCCTAGGCTGTGGGAACCATGTTGGGATGTAATGACTTAAGAGAGCCATGGTGACCTCCCGATGAGGTCCAGTGACCCAGGTCTTCTGGAGAAGCAGCGCTGTGGGCGTCCTGGCAACCTCCTGTGGCTGCTGACCATTTTCTTCTTGTCCAGACAGAAACCACAGGGGAGAGTGCTCAACAAGGCCCATGAGGTCCTCCTCACCAACAAACAGGTTGACTTACTATCTGCACACCCAGGCCTAGTCTCTGTCACCTGTTAGCAGGCAGTGACATGTGGGCATGGCTGGTGCCAGCATGTCCCCTGGGTGTGTCAGATCCACGCCCACACACCTCATACCCAGCCCGGCTTCTGCATTATCTCTGGGGAAGGGGTTGGGACTCTGCTTCGGGCTCCTGATTTTGTCCGCCCTTTTTAGGACACTGACTCCACGGACCGCCGTTTTCAGCTGGGTCCTGCTTGGGATTAGGGCAGCTTCGTGCCAGACATTGAGGAGTTAATGACAGTGTGAGAAGAAGCCTTCTTGAGGGCTGAGCCTCAGCTGAGAGGAGCAAAGGGGAGGGGAGGAGGCTGTTACTAACGTTACTAATAACCCCTGTCATGAGCCCACAGGAGGGGTACTGGGCTGGAGGTCATTCTGCCGCCTCCTCCCTGGAGTTGGCTGCTGTTGAGCTTTTGGACTTGAGTGATAGTACATTTTCCAGTGTCTCTGAGCCCGTTTCCTTGTCTGCAAGAAGGGGATAAAGCTGTTTGCCTGTAGGGCTGTCATGAGGATTACATGTCTGATGACTGGCAGGAGCCACCACAGCTGTAGGAGTACTAGCTGCTGCTCCAGCCATCAGAGATGCCAGGAAATCTTGACCTAAGCAGAATTATTTTTGCAGATTCCACTAGACCTCTACCCAACCTCAGGGCGAGGACCTGTTATAGGACTATGCCCTATACTTTCCTGTTTAGAAACTATAAGGTTCCCAAGTCCTGGTGGAAAACAAACCTGTTGACCTGGTCATTTTTGAGATATGGAAACACAGTTTTCTGGCTCTTGAAGTCCATTTGTAGTTGGTTGATACTTCTGTCAGAGAACAGATGTCATATCAAGTGCTTGGAGATGTGCTCACATGATCTTCTCTCTCTGATCTACTAAACGTCATTTTCTGCTCTGTGGCACCCAACTCTGTCTGGACGTGCCCACCACCTGTGCAGCTCAAATGTGTCCTGGTGCCACATCCCACATCTACGCCGAGGAGTCGGTCTGTGGTGGGACTTGGACGTGGCTTTATTTACAACTTCCTGGAGCTTCCAGTGTAAAGCCGAGGTTGGGAACTCCTGACTGCCTTCCCACTGGAGAGCACACTGTTCCAGGCTCTCACCTGAACGAGGACAAAGGAGCATCAGGCAGGTCGCTCCTGGGCTGTCTGCTGGCTGCCATGACTGGCAGCTCTCACTTTGTGCGTTCACGGACCACTTAAAGTGTCACTTCCTTAAATTTGTTGTTAGAAAGCTGGTATTACACAGTTAATTGAATGGACAAAATCCTCTTAGAAGTGAGTTCCTGAGCATTTGGGAAATTTTCAAGGATAATTTATTTAACTTTTTGCTGAGCTTCAAGTTTCTTAAGAAACTCTGCCAAATCTCAAAGTGATTTTTTAGACGTATGCAGCTGTTTCTGCGTTAACAATGGGGTTTTTCTAGGGCCATTAGAATCTGAAAGCCTCAAGTTCTATTTTAAACTCTTCTCATTGTCAGTGATTAGTCTTAAAAAATAGCATTAAAAATAATGAAATGCTTTTAAAGGGAGCTCATTCTAAAGTTCTGGCCAAAAAAGCAGGGCAGTTTCACTGTGGGAACTAGAAATGATCAATAATCCCTGCAGGGGGGAATGGATGCCCAAAGAGAGGGAGGGAATGCTTGACACCCCACCTCTGGCCACAGGAGAGCCTGTGTTCTCTTCATCAGCCCC